TCGTACCAGAAGAGGATGCCCATTTGGTAAGTCTTTTTAAGAGAAAGGTTGAGGATGGTCAGCTTCTGGATCTGGTGGATAAGTACGATGATGAGATGCAATCAAATGCAGCAGAGGTTGTGGAGATGATGAAAGCTGTGGCGTAGTGTTTGCAAGGTGAATATGCTAAGAGGCCTTCAATGCCTATCGTGGTGAAGCTCCTAGCGGGCAAAATGGATTATGAAAATGAGTACGATTTCACAAATCCACCAGCATCGGCTGAAGTAGAAACTTTCCGAGACCAAACGAATACAGCTGAATTGATGCGGTCTATTTTATCTGGTCCAAGGTGATGATATGGGGGAGGACAAAAAAGATGTACTGCAATGGTAATGCAGTCCTACTTAACATTTATTTTTATTTTTTTATATTTTATTATTTTTATTTTTAAAATTTTTTTATTAGTATATAAATATTAAGTATAATAAATAAATATAAAATTTCAACTATAGAAATATAAGTAACAAGTCAGTTAAACAAATTGATTAAATGAGTTAAATAAATAATTTTAAATTTTTATATTTATTACTTGACTTTACTTATAAGTACATTATTTTTGTACTCATTATTTACTTTTTTTTTCTATAATTTAGGTATAATACTTATTCAAATAGGTAATATACTTACAAGTAATAGGTGTACTTACACCCAATGCTCACCCCTATCAAAATCTGTACAATCTCACTGTAAAACTCCTGGCAATTTAAGCTTATACAAATAGGTACATCCAAATCCGTTTTGTAGTGTACCGCACTTTAGCCTTGACTTTGCAAGGCTTAAAAAATAATAATAATAAGATTTAAATCATAATAAGATGGATAATTAAAGTAAAGTAATAATTAGGGGTGTTTGTTTTAACTTATTAAAAACAACTATCAATTATTGAATTTAATCAAATAAGTTAGATATTTAGAATTATAAATATTAATAATTATCAGTCGTCAAATATTCATTATCAACTATCAATTGTTTGAAAAAAATTAATCTAAATAATCTAAATGATAAGGTTAAAGTAAAAAAAATATTTATCTTCATTCAAATATAAAAAAATGATTATTATTTTAAAACAAATTTTAAATAAAAAAATTTATTATTCTAAGATGAAAAGAGTAATTTTTAAAAATCCATATTAATATACATCATAGAAAAGTGAAAATTAAGATATGATGACATTTTAAATGCCAAAACATCTAATTCTAACTACATAATAAATGAGATTAAAAAAAGATTTATAATACAATCACTTATCATATAATTTTAGTTAAATATTTTAATATTTTTAATACCAAAACATACTAA